CTTGAGCCCATGGTTTTTTTCAACGTAACCTGAAATTGTGAATTCCGGCAAATACTCCAAGCACTCCATGCCGCAGCTGTGTTCCCTTTTCACATCCTTCCCTACACATCACAGGATGTGTACCTCCTGTGCGACCCGGGACGCGGCTAGGGTTTCTGATATGGCAGGAGAAGAGAAGCTAAGCAAAGCCAGCCCTGTTCCTGGCCGGCTGGACGCAGTTGCACCGCGGATCGCAATTTGCGTTCTCCTTAGTTACCGTACACCCGCGGTTACACTTGTTGGTCTGCGGGCATTTTTTTATTGCCTCGACCTCCATTTGCTCCGTTTTCGTTCCTTTCGTGCCTTTGCTAGCTCTGTTGCGAACCTGTTCATCTATTCTTTCTCTAATCCGACCACTGAAGAGGAATGATTCACTCTGTGTAATTCACTTGTCTATCAGCTCAGTGATTAACCTGTGATAGGTGAGTATATAAAACCTACAGCCGGTAAGGTAAATTATTTCTACCGCAGTTTTGCCAGATCTGGTCTATTCCTAATGCCAGCACAAGAAGATACATGGGCGTTCCAGGTACGAAGTCTCTGACCTCTGCTGACTGAACAACTTTGGCAATATGGTTTTCAGCCTATTGGAGCTCCGTTTCCGGACAATCCAGTGCGAGTACCAGGTCAGCAAAACATGTATGTAGCACTATGGTACAAACACGGAAAACCAATCCATGGTCGAGCGTGGAACGACAACGGTGGTGTACAATGCTCGTTCCCTTTCAATAAAGTGGAGCTATGTGGTGCTAAGGATCTCGGTGGCCTGATTCAGATCCTGACGTACAAGGGTGATTTCAACTCACTTGGTTACTGGTGAGTGTAGAAACTTTTCGGTCATTGGCGTTACCCGAACAGACCGTTTAGGTACGAATGGCTGCCAATCAAAACTCGACTTGCCGGTGAGTCACACCGCGAACTTGTTCGGTGTGGCCAATCAACGCCGGTTATCGTTGCTTGCAAGGATGGACAGCAACGAATCGGCTATTTGGATCTCAGCACTGAAATTGCTTTAGTAAGCTATAACGGCAAGTCAGAAAGTCTTGCTGGTGGGCCAGCTAATGAGCTGCTTGGAATATTTCGCAACCTCCGTCCTCCACCTACCGGTGTAAAGATATACGAAGATCTGTGGGCAGATTTGAAGTATGGTGACAACTTCCCCACAAATGTTGTCCCGGTACGTGGTTACACCATCGCTAATAATTCTTCAAAGACCTTTTCAGATCGGACAGATTTCACAGTCCGGTGAACACCTGCTACCGTACCCAAGCTCGCAGTGTGAGCCCGTCCCCGCCTAGGCTCGGATGCTCGGGTGGAGGGGCGGAGCGCATCGAGGCCTGTCTAGCGGGTGAGTCACTGCAGTAAAACCCATATCACGCGAGCAGTGCCGGAGGCGGTATACAACGGGAATTAGAAGGACTTAAAACTAACTAGACTCAGACGCTTGATTCAGAGCCTCAGACTTAAAACTGAGAGAACTGAATCAAGCGCACGGAGTACGGTAACAGCGAATCGCTCGGACTGCGAAATTTTTCTTGTTCCATAGAATGAGGAGGAGATCGGAAGGAAACCTCTTTTGAAACGGAATTCACATTTCAGAGTCTCTACTTAGAGAAATTTCATTACAGTCACACTCTGGGATTCACTAATCGGGAGTAATGACCCTGGTTTAGAAACGCACACGGAGCTGAACTCACCCAAAAGAATCGTCTGATTAAAAGGGGTGATCTGTGTAGGGTTACGATTGGTCTTAAGCATAGAAGGGTCACTTATCAATGCTAATGGGAACGAAAGGCGATCTTACATCTATAAAGCAGAAACTTTGTGTGTGCGGTTTGTCGGTCTGTATGTATGTATGTAAGTATGTAAGTATGTAAGTATGTAAGTATGTATGTTTGTCCGTCCGCAAAATGCTTCACGGGTTCGAATTAGTGGAAGGAAGAACGACCGCTAAGCAAATCGGAATCGATTGGATTGCAGATGTGATCAATGCCAATGTCTTGATTTCGGATAACAGGGCTTGCTATATAAGACCATCATTTCGGTACACTTCCGAGCCATTGCACGAAGCTGCCTGGGATGCCCGTGGCAGCTGGACATGTGCTCGTGCGGGGCAGGGTGGGGTGGAGCCGAGGGAAGGGGGATGCAAAGGGCCCCCTCCCCCTCTGCTTCCTTCCCCTGCACGTGCTCAGCCCGACCTGAGCATGTGCAAGTGAAGGAAGCACAGGGGAGGGGGTTCGGTGAGGGGCCCCTCCCCTCTACTTTCTAGGGGAAGGGAGCGTATTGCACGCTTGGGTAGAATAATAGCAGGAGAGTAGGATACAACCGCTAACCAAACTGTGAGCTAATCCATAATAGAGTAGCAAACTAAGGTAAGATGTTGTTTTGACTTGATAATCCCCACCCTATCTAAGACAGTTATTCCGTACATTCCGGGCCATCGCACAAGCTGCTGCCCCGTGCGCCAGGCTAGGATGTGGTCTCGCCCAGTGGCCGTTGCGACATCTATTACGATTCGACCATATCCATTATGAGCAGCTAAGTGGATGAAAAAAATTTTGTTGCCATCATGAAGTGCGCCCACCAAGCCATCTAAAGAGAAGGAGGAGAGCTCGGCGTTAGCCGGCGCCGATCCTGAGCTGGTCAGTAACAAGAAATACACAATCCACGCGATACGAACATCACCACCGAACAGCGGCCAAGAAATTAAGTGAAATGATACAGGTAGGAAGGGGTCGGCGCGAAGCTTGATAGACGTAGCAGGCCTCTGGCGTTCTTTGGCGAGGCGAGATGACCATCGGCTGCTTTCTGTGGCCGTCCCGAATATGGCTTCGCCTGGAAACTGATGACAGAATCGGCGAAGGATAGTCTCACAGGAGAAGCATACTTTCCGATAAATTGATGCTCTTGGACACAGAGACCTTGTCAATACTTTAGGATACAAAGTGAACTGCTCGAAGTCTTTGGCTTTCAGTGGGGCAGGATATAGTATGAAGCGGCTGCTAAGCGGAAATGTTGCTAATCGTGACAGTATGAGAACGTTTCTTCTGTTGGCAACCAATCAGGTCACGTCGTGCGGCTGAGAATGATCGCGTTTAGGCGATTGATAACCACTGGAAAGAGATGGATCACTCAGTGCAGTAGTTTCTGCCACTATCTCAGTTACAGTCATTGTGAATGTTCAATATGTTTCAGGCTGACAACCGTCAGCTGAAGACGGAAACAGGTCCAATGAATCAATATGTCGCCCTGTGGTATAAGCACGGAGAACCAGTGTTTGGAAGAGCGTTCCCGAGTCCAGCGGGCAAGGTAAGTCGTAAAAGTGGCGGTTATGTCGCTGTTATAGACTTCTGACAGAGACTGAATTCCAGCTTATGGCCACCTTTGGTGCAAACAATCAAGAGAACTCTGGCCCAGAAATCGGTTCTATGCAAATGCTTACCGTACCTGAAGCAAGCTGTGTATGTTTAGAGTGCTATTCCATACGATACTGGTCCTCATTGTAACCCAAAGGAAAGAATGCGCTGTGTTTCAGATGGGTCTCGAATATCAGTGGCTACCAAGATCTCAAGGATCCTCTGGTGGCTGGACCATGGTACATGTGGGAAATGCAGTACCGGTGATAGTCGTAGACGACAAGCAGAATGAATATGTTGGCAACCTGAACACGTCGTTAGACAAGGCATCTATTGGGTTCGGTGGGAAAGAAAAGGCGAGTTTCGGGCATTGAGGACTAGCATACACGGCATAAAGAATAGCGTATCTCACAGTTAGCTTGGGAACACAAGTTTCTGAAAGAGGGTGTGAAATTTGATGTAGGCAGACACGTGCCGGTTCAGGCAGAGTGGTGTGAGATGCATTCTTCTGCTTCCCGCGGCTTCTTACGCACCCACTGCTTACGTGTCTGCATGCACCGGCAACTGTCTCTCCTCACTGCTCTTGAACACAACTCTGTGGACACGCCCCTTCCAGCGCCGAGATAAGGCTGTGAATGCTGTTCGCTCAGACCACATTTCATTAGAATGATCTTCTGGTGCTATTAGAGTTCACGTTAGCAATGGTATGGACCGCCGTTGAACGATAGCAGTCCATATTTGTCAAAGTATGATGTCTGGCAACATATCGCACCAATAGATATGACTGGAAGAAGATAGTCCACATTGTTTCGAACAACTAATACCTTTCCTTTTAGATTTATGCGGGAGGTGCATGTGCCAATTTCAAGGTGCTCCACAAGCGAAGAATCAACTAAACTATTAGCATAAAGACGCTTTCTAAACGATTTCTGTGTATAAACGTTGGTGGCACCAAACTAGACGGCTTTACTGCGTGTAGAAGGACTTAGAAGATGGAAAGTCTACTGTCTTTGGCGAGCAATCAGGCTACACAGACAACTTGAATGTTGCACAAATAAGTCAGTTAAACACTTGCTTCTGGGCTTTGAACTCCAGCTATGAATTACCAACTGCTGACTGATTAGTCAGTGAGGGAAGAGTGACAACAACAACACCGTCAAGGTGCCCTTAATTAGATCAAAGGATTGGACCAGTATTCGAAGAAGCGAGATACTGTACGGGAGAGACTACAGACAAAGGACAAGAGAGCACGAAGACGGGCTGGAAGATGGTCTAGGCGAGGTCGGCTCTAAGAAGAACGAATGCAGTGGGTCACACTTGCGACGCGACCTTAGTATGTATAATGCGCTGAGCATGTCTGTAAATGTGTACGCTCCTTATAACTGGAACGGAGTGGGCGTGTCATTAAGCACGGCATAATATGGGTTAGGCGTGAAATGTTTCAGTTTGAGGCAACTGTCGCCTTGTTCCGTTCAAACAGAGACACGACTACAATTGTGATGAAATCAAAGTATCTCTTCAAATGTACGGGCCACTGCCACATTTACTTGAAGAACACAGCCACGGCTATCACATGTCAGGGATTCCGAGGGATAAGCATGCGTGCATGTGTGTGTGTCACGAAATTCATAGCGCGTGTCGAAAATACTCTGGGGGAGTGGGGGAGGGGGGAACTGGCTGGAGGAAGTGATATAAGGAGTAGGACGGAACCGTACTGGCGGTGACAGAAAAAACATAACAGCTGATGAGATCCGGTGAGAGGCTTTAGAGGGTAGAGCGGAAGAGCCGCCAAATCAGGGCACATCATTGGTTGGGGATTTTGGTCGATTCCGTACGACCCCCCCCTTTTTTTTTGGGGGGGGGGGTTGGTACGACCCTGCCCCCTCTGGCTCTGTTCCTCCTCATCGAATCGAGCCGTCTAGCGTCGAGCGGAGGGAGGGGGGCGAGAGGGGGGGAGGGCATATAGTATGCATGAAACAGGAAAATCACCAAACGTACCAAGTACGACGTCCCCCCCCCCTTTACAAAACCCGGGAATCGAGAAAAATCAAACTATCAAAATATTCTCCAGCTTCTCTCTTCTTGCAACCTCGGCATGTTAGTAGTGAGTGTTTCAATATTCTTGTGCCTTACGAGGTTGGTTAACCATAAGCTTCCCTCCCATAGAGATATGCTGCCAATGCCAGCGGATACATATAAGATCCGCCCTATCATAAGCTGCGTGGGTGGGCCTACCGACCGAATATCATGGTTTCTTAACACCATCGTCAGTCAACTTCTACCCATGGTCCCCTCTCACCTGCCAAATACGAATCGCTTCCTTGAACAGCTACGGCGCTGCAATATCCCAAACAATGCTGTGGTAGAGTCATTTGATGTTACATCGCTTTATACTAATGTCCAAAACGAGCAAGCCCTTCAAGCATTATCCGAAATGCTTGACAGGCATATTGCTAATATACGAACCTTTGGACTTGGTAAAGCGCACATAATGACTCTAATCAAGGAATGTTTGAACTGTAACATCTTTAAATGGGCAGGTACATACTATTCTCAAATTAGAGGGCTAGCCATGGGTCAGCGTCTTGCACCAGTTCTCGCAATCTGCTTTATGGGCAGAATAGAGGAACCGGTGCTGGAGCGCTTGCCTTTAATGTACTGTAGATACATAGACGACTGTTTCATCGTGACATCAACACAGTCCGAAATGGATGAGTGTTTCCGATTGATGAATGAACAGTCACAGTACATTAAGCTGACACGAGAAACCCCGCAAAACGGTTGGCTGCCATTTCTCAACACGCAAGTCAAGGTATCCAATGGTATCACTCGAGTTAAATGGTACCGTAAGAGCAGCTCGAAAAACATCCTGATTCACGCTACATCAGCACACCCGATTGCTGTGAAACGCGCTGTTGTCCGAAACATGTTCCGAACGGCAACGGGAATGTGCACGGGAGATGTAGAACGACAAGAATCACGAGAGCTTGCCACAAAAATAGCCGTTATGAATGGCTATACGGAACCACGTCCTCGGGGAAGGCAGCATATTGGTCCACAGGGCGTACCGCGTCGAAACAAGATACCTTTATGTATCCCCTTCATTTCTGATGTGGTAAGCGCTGCAATCAAACGGAGCATAGCAAGAGCACAGCTGCAGGACGATGTCCAGTTGGTAAATATACCAAATGAAAGCATCAGGCTGCGTTTATACTTTGCGGCAGCGTAGCGTAAGCGGCTTCCAGCCGTACGCCCAGCGCTCGCCAGCGGGCAAGTGCCGAGTAGAAATGCATTTAGCGATCTAGCTTCAGGCAAGCGTCACCAGCGGCACGGCTGGGGCGGTGACGCGCTAGCGTGCGCTAGGAGGCGGCACGCAGCTGTACGCCAGCGGCCAGCGCCAGCCGCAACGCTGCTGTGAGCGATGGGCACGAGGGGGCATTAGCGTATCGATCTAGCTTCACCCAGCGTTGTTTCTGCCAGCGTTTCCAGCGCTTCCACGGCGGGCTAGAGAGGAGCCTCAGAGGCACGGGACGGAGCAGCAGCTGACAAAAATACTCTCTTTCCGTTCAGTGCTCTCTAGCCCCGCTGGCGCTTGCAGCGACGAGGCTAGAGAGGGGCTAGAGAGCACTGAACGGAGGAGAGTACTTTGTACTCTCCTCCGTCCAGTGCTCTCTAGCCCCTCTCTAGCCCCGCCGCTGGAAGCGCTGGGAAAACGCTGGAGAAACGCTGGTGAAGCTAGATCGATAGCTATGCTTCCGTGCTCCTCGCCGGCTAACGCCAGCTGGCGGGCTGGCGTCGGCTGGCGTACGCTGGCTGTCGCCGTCTGAGCCCGCACGCTAGCGTACGCCAGCGTGCCGCTGGTGACGCTGGTGAAGCTAGATCGATATGCATCTTCTCTTCGGCACTGCCGCTGGCGTACGCTGGCGTACGCTGGAAGCGCTACGCTACGCTGCGCTACGCTACGCTACGCTGCCGCAAAGTATAAACGCAGCATCAAGCAGCAGCTGGTCCGTAACAGGCTCTATGACAAGCAGTGCATATCAGAAAATTGTGTTACTTGCCCACACGGGAAAACTGGTGACTGTGCGCAGTTGGGGGTAATATATGAAATCCAGTGTCGGGCATGTAACTCCACGATGATATTGGGAAGACCAGGAATGCTCCTTGGCTACTCGTATCAAGGAACATCTTGCTAGCATGAGACGCGGTACCCTCACAAACTGCTCTTGGGAGGCATAAGGTTGTGGAACATGATGGGATCGAATTCGAAATAAAGTGCAGTGTGCTGGCAAATGAGACGGAACTCTCAGCCAGAAAAGCGTTGGAAGCATTCTGGATATTCACTAGAAAACCCAGAATGAACAACCGAGATGAGTGTCCTGCCATCACAAACGATCTGCTACCGTTTATACCCCACTGCGAACTGTAGAATGACAGAGCGTGACGTCCGTCTCCTGATATGTCATTATACGGAGACGTCGTATTCTTCATTTTTCTATTGACAGCGCTCTAGTGTGGCCGCGGACCTATCCGCTCAAACGGTGGAACCACTGGTGAGTCTCTGTCTTGCGATATTGGCGTCTTCTCGAGGGTTCCTGACACGACGTCGGAACCGCTAGAGTTGACGAGGTGCTTGGTGGGGTAGGTTGCATATCTAATGCTTGAAACACTGACGCCTCTGAAAAGACGAACCGATTAAGGTCCAAAACGTAGGCCATTATTATAAACGTGTCCACCTCTAACCCCCAACCTCCGTGGCACAGAGAATCTTGAAACACTATCAAAAATAAATTTTTCCCAGCCCAAATACGACCCCCTCTCCTGGAGGCCAAATACGACCTCCCCCCTACTGGGGATCCCCAACAACGACGTACCCTGCGCCAAATTCATGACGCGGGTCCCAGCAACGAGGGACGTTGGTTGCCGAAAGATGATCGGTATTTAGGGCGATTATTGCTGGGTGACAGAAAGGTATAGCAGACAAAGTTGGTAAGGGGCGTTAGAGCTCAAGCGTCACCTAATTGACAGCGCACGTCGCAGCAACTGTAGAAAGTGGATCCAGCTGGTGATAAAAGGGAGTGACGGGCATATAATAATGGCTGACAGAAGGGGATAACATTTGATAGGGGATGATAAGGCTCGTTGTCGCCGCGGTTCTAGCTCAAGCGCAAATACTTTTTCAAGCCCTAATCGTCTTTGCTGTGACGGGATTCTCCATCAGCGGGACCATCAACCTTGGGCTAAGATGGTATTACCACCATTTTGTGTCTTGATAGGGATTAAACTCGTAGCTCTCCACAGTGAAGGCATGCGTGCATACTCTCGACTAAGCTACCCCTGCCTTATGAGCAATCGCTATAACGAGCGAGCAAGC